CCAATGCCCCCCCACTCCCCCCTTCCCCATGGAGGATTCCTAGCTCCTCCCCAATAACCTGCCCGCTGGGTTCTCAGCCCTCCTCCTCCCTGCCCCTTGAGGACTCCAGGCCCCACCACCACTGACCCACGGCCCCTCCCCACACAGCATTTCCAGACCATCCTGCAGACGCTGGAAGAGCAGGTGGCTGGGGAGCCGCGGGGGGGGGGGGGGGAGGAGACGCACCTGGCCCGGGTGGTGGCCCGGCTGAATGACAATCGGCGCGTGGCACTGGAGAGCTACCTGAGCGCCGTGCAGAGTGACAGCCCACAGGTGGGCCGGGCAGGCTGATCCCACCATTAGCCAGGGGGCTGCATCTAGAGCAGGGTTGCTGATTGGATGGCTCAGATGCCACCAGCTGGGGCATGTGTGGCATGGATTGGCAGGATAGGCCAATCTAGAACAAGTCCCAGAAGGGGTTCTAGAGTGGGAACATTGATAAGCCAGCTCTGACTCCGCCTCTCCCTGTGATTGGCTGCTCAGCTGGAGTGGGTGCTGCATAGACTGGTGGTGGCCCTGTCTAGAATGGGCTCTAGAGGAGGGGTGCTGATTGGCCAGCTCTGACTCCGCCTCTCCCTGTGATTGACCACCCAGCCGGAGCGGGTGCTGCAGGCGCTGAGGCGGTACGTGTGGGCGGAGCAGAAGGACCAGCGGCACACGCTGCGGCACTACCAGCACGTCAGCGCTGTCGATCCGGAGAAGGCCGAGCAGATGAAGTTCCAGGTGGGGACCCCCTTTTGCCCCCAGTCATCCATCACAGTCTGGGGAGGGGCGTGCCCATCCTAATAGCCTCCCGTCTGTCTGTCCCTCCCTCCATCTGTCCCCAGGTGTACACCCACCTGCACGTTATCGAGGAGCGCATGAACCAGAGCCTGGCGCTGCTCTACAAGAACCCCCGGCTCTCTGCAGAGCTGCGGGACCAGATACGTATGTACCCCGAGCGCCCCTCCCCAGTGCGCCCCCCAGCTCTCTGTGGGGCCAGATATGTATGAATCCTGACGGTCCCCCGACAGCCCCTCCTCCCTGGAACTGTGGGGCCAGATACGCATGTACCCCGAGAGCCCCCAATGGCCCCTCCCCCAACAGTTCCCTAGAGCTGTCTAGGGGGCTTTGGGACCAAATACTTGGGAACCCACAGACTCCACCTCTCTGCGGGGCTGGGGGACAGATTCATTCGTACCTTGACAGCCCCTCCCTGGGACTGGATTAGATACACATGTGCCCAGACAGCCCCCCAACTCCACAGCCCCTCCTCCTGCCAGCCTACCTGTACCCCAGTGGTCCCCTGGCATGTCCTTCTCTGATAGCACTCCCCAGTATTCCCGGGGGCTGCAGGACCAATACGAACGTACCCCAAGAGCCCCTTCCATTTGATGGCCTCTCTGAAGGGCTGCAGGACAAGATACGCACCCCGACAGCCCAGCCCCCGATGTCCCTTCTCCCAGTGTCCCCAGTCCCTCTGCCCTTGATGGCTAACCAACTCCCCTCCCCCAACAGTCCCTGCCCCCAATATCCCAACCCATGACAGCCAGTAACCCCAATGGCCTCTGCTTCCCCCAACAGCTGCCAGCTCTCAGTGGGGCTGCAAGACCAGACACACATGTACCCCCAACTACTCCTCCCCCAACAGGACCCCCTGACAGCTCCCCGGCTCTCAGAAGGACTGTGGGACTGAATGTTTGTACCCCAACAGCCCCTCCCTCCAGCAATACCCCTCAACACCCCCTTCCCTCAGTGACCCCCTCTTCACCCACTCCTGGCTCTTGAACAGGCTATGGGATCTGTGTGTACCGCCCCCCCACTCCATACCTCCTCCTCCCCTGTGACACCTACCCCTCAACTCCATGGGACCAGCTATGTGTGTGTGCCCCCCATGGCCCTGCTATATCTTCTGGCTCTGAGAGGCAGTGGGAGTTGGTGTGTAGATACCCCCACATCCACCTGACATGCCTCCTACCCCAGATCCTGCCCTGACCCTCCCTGCTCAGCTCCTGGATCCAGCTGTGCAACCTGTCTGTTAGGCTGAGGGGAGAGGAATCTAGTGGGAGGTTGGGAGCCAGGACTCCTGGGTTCTATCCCTGGGTCTGGGAGGGGAGAGTGGTCTAATGGTTAGAGCAGCTCTCACTCCTGTGACCCATGGTCCTCCCTGGTTTCCCCAGAAGAGCTACTGCAGGCGGAGCGGGCAGGGACCAGCAGCCTGCTCACCATGCCACTGGACAGCAACGAGGACCTGGACCCTGAGGACCATTCTGACCACCTGGGGGCTGGGGACCTGTTCCCTGGGGAAGGTGAGAGGGCGGGGCCAGACCCTGGAGGGTTGAACCCCATGGGGCAGACCTTGTGAGAGTGGGGCCAGGCCCTGAAGGGATGGACCCCATGGGGCAGGTCAGACCTTGTGAGGGTGGGGCCAGAACCCAGCGCATCAGGCCCAGAGCAGGGAGGGGGATTTGAACAG